CTAGTTATCGGGAAGTCAGCAAATCCTCGATGTTTCAAAGGAAAATCTCGGTGTCAATTACGAAGCGAACAAAAAGGCATGGATGACCGGTGACATTTTTAGTCGCTGGATAAAATCACTGAATCATACAAATCGCCTCAAACATAGAAAAATCCTAGTCTTGGTCGATAACGCCAGTTCTCACATAGTTAGCGAATTCATTTTTTGCCACCGAATCCATGCAATCATGCGATAGCGAATAATTAACTCTTTCAAAGCTCACTATCGAGAGTTGTATCTTCAAACAGTACTGAAGCCTGGAGAAACGTAACCCCTCGGACTATTGTCAATTGCTGGCGAAAAACTGAAACAGTACCATTAACCGAGTGGAATTGGCAAAATCCAGACGTACAAGAATATAATGAGAATCTAGACTTAGTAACTGACCCATTGAACAATTAGTTTCTGAGTTTCCTGCTAATAGCATGCAAATATAAATAATGACAGCTAACACTGACATTCATTTCGATGATACGATCGAGACAGAGGCAGTAATTATCGACAAAAAAGAAATTATAGAAGAGATACTCCACACGTCTAATTCTGATAGTTATAATGAAGGCAGCGACATTGAGATCGAAAAAATTTCTCATTCTGTAGCATTGGAACAATGCAAATTACTTCTGCAGTATGTAGAACAGCAAGACCCGCCAAATTCGTAGAAGAGCAAGACATACCAAGACATACCAAGATTACAAAGTCTGTTGCGTCGTATTCAATCGAATATATACGAGGCGAGGCAACAAAAAAAGTTAAGATTTTTTCGTCCACAATTCATAAAAGGTGAACAAATTGGTGAGTTTAATAATGATATATTACTGGTTTTTATTATAAATAAGGTTTAAACACGAGTATCGTATATAATATTACAGATGAGAGGTCATTAATCCCTATGATATCATATATCAATGAAATTGGCCGGTTCCGTGACAATATTCCCTTAAATTTTTGGTAGGACCCTGACTGTATAACAGGATTTTCCTTCGCTGAGTTTCAAAACGTTCTCCTCACGCGTCGTCGTTCACGAATGTGATTACAAACGTTTTGAACTAATCGCAAACTCTGACTTGTGGTGTTGATGTAAGTAGCTAATGATGATGACTTCTATTTGATCATGTTTGTGAGTTATCGTTCTTCGTTTGTATTATCTAGGAAGGTATCTATTGATTCTTCGGAGAGCACATTGAGGGTCTATATTAATATGCGCAATGTTAACAATCTCGAGTCTTCCTGAATTTGTGAAATTTACTTACCAAAAAAGGATAACTTCGAAATTAAGTTAGGGAAAATTTTGTCGGTGAAATGAATGCCTCCCAATTTGAACAGTTAGACACTGGGAACTCTATCAGTGGTTTGCTTTTTAGGTTCTTTAAGGCAATCCTTCTTTACTATATGTGAGTGGATCAAAAGGTTTTGCTGCATATGCATATCACTTTATACTAGTCAATAAAGCTCCGATTCTGATCTCCAAATTTGGTTGGTTTAAATAGTTGTTGAATTATCTTCGTTTATGTGAACAATACTTTAGAAATGATTGATGTGACTGATGTTAGTGGAATCTTGTAGACATAGCGCACTAACATTACACACAGGTTAATAATGGTAGAGACTGCTTGGAGGTGACCCTTGATCCAGAAACCTTTTCGGATTAATATTAATAAGTCTTCCCAGAAGCTGTCATCTAGGCGTTCATCTCTACTTATGTATTGGGGCTAGATGATCGTGTATTCTCGTTTAGCGTAGATAATACTAATGGCGTACTTCTACCAGTAATGACACTTTGTAAGACCCAATTAGTGCGCGGAGTTAAAATACCAATAATAAGACAGTTATTTTATTGCTTATGAATTCATATCGATATATATTAGAGACCATACTTCAGATAATCGGATAAAATCTATACATGAATAGTATGCTCATCAGCGGAGGGATAAACCTTCCCTCTCCACAAAATTGAAGACAAGTTTTGTGCTAATATCAAAAGATCAGCCTCTACCTAATCGGATGTTTTCCATGCTTGCCATGCTTCTTCCACAGTCTTTCCTTTAGTCTCAGGTACATATCTTTTAACCAATAGGTAAGCAAGCACAAGATATGCTGCAAATATGTAAAACACATTTCCTCCAACAAACTCTCTTATCTCTAAGAACGCAGCAGCTACTATGAAGTTCATGATCCAGTTCACAGCAAGACCTAATCCTCCAGCGGTGGCAACAGCACGTGTATCCACTACTTCAGGAGTGATGAGAAATGGAATGGGACCCAATCCAATTGCGAAAGTGGCAACATAAGCTATAATAGAAATGGCAGAGAGTATACCAATATTACACGTGATTCCTAAAGCCAGGAGTGCACTTGTTATTGACATCGATGAAATTGATAAGAGTAATAGCTTCCTTCTACCCGCCTTGTCTATTAAGCCGGCAGAAATTACAGTCATTATAGTATTTACAATACTGATAAATACTGTAATCATATTATTCGAAGTAGGCAGAATTTTAGATAGGATAGTTGCAGAGTAATAAATAACTGCATTAATTCCAGATAATTGTTGGGTAATCTGAGCGATTAGAATGACAATCAACGCTGGTCGGTAGTGAGCCGATTTGATGAATTTCCAAACATCAACTTCATTGGTATCCTTGGCATAGAACACATTCCCAGACGTCCCTTCTTCGGTCTCTTCCGTCATTTCTACTCCAGTATCCTCAATCAGTCCTTCTAATACTTCCTCGTTAGTGGAAAGTGTCCACGCTCGTAATTCATCGTCAACATCTACGGTTCCCCTTAACCTTTGCAAAGCCTTCTTCGCATCGCTGTACCTGCCCGGGCTAGATGCGAGGTATTTAGGTGATTCTACAATAAAATTCAAAAGAATGGCTTGGACTACGGCAGTTGCCGATCCAGCGAGAAGGATTATCCTCCATCCCGGTATCGTCGAGAAGTAGAGTCCCAATACCTGAGAAAAGAGAATTCCGAGGACTACACCAAGCTGATTCATCACGCCTGTACGTAGCGTAAGATAAAGTTAGGATCATGATACGTTGATAAAACAATGTTGTAAATGTAAACAGGCGCGAAACACTTTGAAGCGTATTTACCAAAAGTACCGCGGTACTCAGTTGGAGCTATCTCAGCCAGATATGTTGGCACAACTACAGTAGCCTTTTCGCGGAATGAATGTGCATGTCTAATCAATCCGATAAACGCCTTATAATTTGTTAACTTCTACTCCCAACCAAACTCACCACACCACTTCCAATTCCAACAACAATTCTTCCAATGACTAGTCCAGCAATAGTACTTGCAAATCCCATAATTAAAGCACCACATCCGAGGATGACCGTATTCGCTAGTAGAGTCCACCATCGTCCTTTGCTGTCAGCATATCTTGATAAAAACAATGAACCAAACAATCCACCAAGATTGAATATTGAAGTCACTAAAGAGAATTGATTATGCGTCATTTTAATACATGATGGTAAGAGAGAAACTGTTGGCGCGGCATCATCGCATGACATGACGCGTTGTGGAATGTTTAGTTCCCCTATCTGTTAGAAGACAGGCAAATGATATTAGTTCATTCGAACCGGGCAAAGCATAGTAGCTAGTAGGTATGAGGAAACAAGTTTTACATGATATCCAAACTGAAATGAACCCAATGTAATCGCAAAAGCAACGAAAATTAGGTAAAGCGTCAATTTGTTTTCAGTCATGGTTGGGGACAAGTTCGAAGAATGTAAATGGTGCGGTGTTCGACACTTTAATTTATGATGTGGATCTGTCCCACCACAAAATGATGTTTACTTTTAAAGGCTAGCCCGTCGATCTTTAGTATGCTCAATATTGCTTTAATGTCCCCGGCATCAGTTCCCAGTAGCTTTCTCAATAGCTTGCAAAACAGAGTAATACCAAATTGCCTTTACGCAATATGGGATGAGTTCTTATTGATTCATAATAACAAATTCCTAAAAAGAGTTTATAAACAACTGGTATGTTTACATACTTCCCACATTAATCATGAGACGTTCAAGCAGAAGTTTGAATCGGAAGGTGAATGAAGTAGTCTTTTGACTGACATATTTACTTGGTGGGTGTAAAACGACTTTGTGTGTATTTTATATTATGCGATATTTAATATTACGTGTAATAGATTAAGCCCGGAAATTTAGGATAATTTATATTATTACTATTACTATTCTGATGCATCCATAATATTATATAATTGCTTCAGTCTTAATATTGTACTTTTCACAATTTCGACCGACGTGACACAAATCATGCGAACTGTAAACATTCTAATTCTAGGGTGCTAGTACTTATACTGCTTCGTTCTAAATAAAACGATGGGCAAAACACTTGTAGAATATCTTATGCGCGACCTATCTGCAACTGTTGCAGGGAAACACACATATGACCTATATGTTCTTTCAACGACCCAGGTCGAAACAGATTCACCCACCCCGAAATTGAACCCAACAGCAAAACGACGACGGTTTATTGTATTTCTTGCAGAAGACGCGATTTTTGTAACTGCTTTAGAAGTACATGAATACGTTGAAGATCATGGAGAGAATGATTCTGTTTCTTTATACATCTCCAAAGTAGATACGACGGGCTTCAGTTCGGAAAGTGGTAGTCCTACGAAACCTCTGATAACGTCATTCTTGAAATACTATATAGAAGTTCGCTCACCGAAACTATTAAAAATAAATGTGTTCGCTCGAGCTCAACCGCAGTACCTTTTTACCAAATCTTTTGAAAACCCTCAGAAGCGCGTTCTGCGTGATACTGCCCTTGTGAAATGGTGGAAGAATGTGATTACAGAGACATTATCTACAATTAGCAGTCGAATGAGAGGCGGGACAACTGCCTGGTTCTATATCCCTGGCGAAAATTCAGAGCGTTCAGCACGCATTATTATCAAGGACGAAAATGCTGAACCACAAGGGAAGCCGTTATGGATCTATGGCTACCCATATGATGATGATCAAGCTGCAAACAATGTTATACCTCGGTTTATAGATGATGCGAAAGGACGAGTTTTGAGAGATGTTGCAGGAAGAGACGGTAAGAGAAAGAAAACGACAGATGATGGTGACAAGCAAATGTCTGTGGAGGAATTTTGGCAAGTGATGGCAATATCAGGTGAATGCGGTGCTGGTAAAACCACTGGATTCTTTTGGGTAGAGATAACCAATGCGCGTTCAGAACCGAATAAAAAATGGAAAACTGATGGGATGTCAGTAATTAATGATACAGAATTTCCTAGAGTAGTTCATGAACTATTGGATCTTGATTTCTGGCCACGTGAGAAAGCAATTGAATCGACGCAAAAGTTTACAGAAATACTTGCTAATGAATGTGGGTTACAACAAGTCAAGATCGTAGTCGATAATCTGTCAAAACAGTTTAAAAAGATTGACGATAGAGTAGTTAATAATCTACAGACATCTGTCAAGAGAAAAATTCCGCCGTCGGAGAAAGACGGAGAAGCAAGTGTCAATGTGCTGTCACCATCAGTAATCAGGAGAAGGATGAGATGAATAGACAAAACTATTGAGCAAATCAATCCCATTGGATGTCTGGATGCTCCTTATACTTTTCGTAGGCCTCGAAATTGAAGAATGAGATTTCTGTTTCGTTTTCTATAAAAATGTACAAATATTTCAAGAATGTACAGATATTAAACATTTTTGTAGTTACTTGATATCAATTGTTGTCTTACCAATTCCATATGATACTAGAGTACTGTGTTCGTCGTTCAAGATCCAGTCTTCGTCATGTTCAAAGTTAATCACAAGATTCATTGTCTGTAAAATAGCGAATAAAATCAGTTAATTTGAAAAGCGACCTTCGGGTGACCCAAATATTACCTTGGCTCCATGAGCTTTTGTGTAAATTTTCAGCGTGTCTAAGGGCATGATGATGGGACAAATTAGAAACGAGAAATCTTATCGGGGGTTAGAAAACTTTATAAGCTCACCATAATCCACGTTACGAAATGGCCTGAAACCAGGCGTAGTATTTATTTCTTGTGACAAAAGAGGTGATAATTTGTAGAGAGGAAAAAACAGCAAAGGGAGAGAATACGTCATAACTAGTTCATTGTCGATTGTGACAAAAGAGGTTGGTATTTAATAATAGATACTCTCTCGTATTAATTCTTTCAACTGTTCGACGGTTGTTGTCTCCAGGTTGACATTCTGAAGAACAATGTTCTTGACAGTACGATACTCAAAGTTCTTGATCACACGAATAGTTAATGTCGAAGACGTTGTTGAGTTTAGCGTGTTCGTGAGTGCAGCAGTCATTTTGTAAACCTAAAGAATTTCTCCTTCAGCTTGCATCATGTGAAAACATTTATCATTTAATCACATGATAAATGAGATACAAAACACATTCATGACATGACCCAGTTCTCGTTCTTAGCTACGTACAATGCAGATGGAAAGTCAGCCACGCCTCAATAAGACTTGTCCCGATAATCCTGATTTCGTTCCTTTGGAATGGTATAATGTTGCAACTGCATCCGTCTTCATCATGGTGACCGGTGAGAAAAATTCCCAACATCGACACTGCGTATAATTCAGTTATAACAAATGACGTGTAACTCTTTTAGGAGCTCTTTCGATCGCTCTTGGATTGCAGCTCGAGAAATCATTATTCATAGCTGCCGTTCGGTGTCTTGTGCAACTGACTATTATGGTATGACTACAGAATTAACATTGCGCGCTAAAATCCAACAGTCAAATTCAACGTTATTATTGCTACTATTTATACCAACTCTTAGGGATTAGTCCTCAAGGACGTATTTGGGACAAGAAATCCTGTTTTTGTCTTTGGACTAGCGCGTACGTTGAGAAAAACGGGTATCGACTGTTAATCTCACATCGGCCTTCTATTAACATGCCCCCAATTATAGTGATGCTTATTCTCCTAGGCACTAACGAAATTGTCTATAATAAATGCAGAAAGAGATATAGTGGAATGGTAAGAAAATTAATGTAATGGACGTGTTTGTGAACATTTCGTGCCACATCTATTAACATGCGGACCCATAATAGTTCTTATCGAGTTTCTTTTCACTAGGAGCAAGTACGATGGTTGTTGGTATATTAGGTAAGTATAAGACATAATGGACGAATTTCCAAGACATCTTTCATTCTGTCGTGTGATAACAACGTACACCGAATTTACAGGTACAAAACTTGCCATGGAAGAAGATCCATTCTGGGAACCGTACAAGTTTATTCCTACAATGGGAATGCTTATAGGGAACACAATGTCTGGAATAGCCGTTGGCCTGTCATTTACTCTCAACCAATTGAGGTCAATATCAAGAGTCTAATATCTGCCTATCAACCGATTGTACTTAATTTTTATATTAATTTTATCACACAGCGAACAACGAGAAAAGATTGAGACTTACTTGTCATTTGGAGCCACTAGATGGGAGGCTACTCGCCCAATCGCTACAGAAGCAGTCAGGCTTGCGATGTTACCAACAATAAATATGATGAGGTACGCTATAAACCGTTGACTATCTGATGTTGTGGAGAGACTGAACTAACAATATTATCAAAGTGTGATTGGGCTGATTTCTATTCCAGGTATCCGAGACTATTATTTGTATATATATCCTCTTTCCGGTACTAATCCGTATTATGAATTATTAGGAATGATGACTGGTCAGATTATAGGCGGTGCTCCGATCATGGATGCCGTTAAATACCAACAGATTATAGTTTTTATGATAAGCGCGTCAGCTGCACTTGGTGTCTTGTCGGCAGTATTCGTTAGTGCATTATTCCTTTTGCGTATAGTTATCTAACGAGTTTATACAATATAACGTCACTTTACTGACAAATGCATTTTTACTTTAGATTGCCGCGTTTATATGTGTTGATGCATCTCACCGATTGCGTGTCGAGCTAATAACAACCGATATGCCTTGGATATATGAACAAATTCGTTGGCTTGGACGTATCATTAAGGGATTTTTCATGAGGATACGAACCACATTTTGGTATTGCTGCTGTCACTGTTGTCAGAGACAGAATCTTAATGATAATGAGGAAAATGAAAACATGTTGAATCAACATTAGATAGCGACAGAGGCAATGCACGATTATTCATATTTATGGTTTGATCGTCAGTGTCACAACATGTTAAATAAATGATCGACAGCACATGACGGTTACACTTCTCTATTATACGAATGTTTGTGCACTTTCTGCAACATCTATGCAATAAAAATATGGGCAGGGACTTGACATGTCTTTGGCGTTCTTCATCAGCTCTTGGTGTCGGTGAATTAACACGGTTTCGCATAAAATTCAATCTCGCTAAATTCTTATCGCACCCTACCACAACCGTTAAACCATTTCCGCTAACAGTTGAAGTAAAAAACTCGACACCTCTTATTTACCGAGGTGCTCTTCTCACTGGACCATACAACATTTCAGCTTGCGTTATTCCGACTCGAGACTTGCTCACTCGTAATATATATGCCTGCTTACAATTGAAACCTGTTCTTGCCTGTGGAGAGATATGGAGAGCCACGCTTGATTTACCCAAGGAGGGTGTTGGTGATTGGACTGCAGATATCTTTAGCGAAGTACTGTTTTCGCCGAATAAAGTCGAATATGAAATCAGCGTACTTGCTGAATTACCCGAAGGCGATTACAACCTTAGATCCGATAATGACGCAACAAGTGATTATGAAAATACTGTGTCATATACTCCTGCAATTGAGTATGTGGTGTGGAAGACGGAAGATATCTTTGGATTACCAGATTTGAGTAGCAGAAAAATTGGTGACGACGTACATCTAGTTGTCTTAACACATGGCCTCAATGGCTCTGCCTTGGATAAAAAGTATTTAAAGGAACGATTAGACGAAAAGTATAATCAACAGACTGGAACTCGAGTAGTTCCATATGTAGCCGACGTGAATCATGCTTCAACGTGGGATGGTGTAGAAGTATGCGCTAGAAGAATTGCTGATAAACTATTGCAAATAGCCGGTTGGCCGTGGAACGAAAATATCCAAGATAGGACTGACAAAGAAGAGATATCTACTAAACCATACATATCTAAAATCTCCTTGATCGGCCATTCCCTTGGCGGTTTAATCAATGTATGTCTTGCCGGTTATCTGAACAGTCTAACAAATGGTGAATTTTACCGTAGCATCCAGGCAGTCAATTTCATTACAGTAGCAACACCATGGCTTGGATCAACGGAACAACCGTGGTATATCAAAGCGGGAATGCAAGCAGGAGCAGTCGGACAAACAGGTAAAGATCTCTTGGCAGTTCAGCGGACACGATCAGAACAAGTGCAAGCACGCGGGGCTGCCGAAGAGAATACCCTAGAGGAAGAACCTCTGTTGTTAGCCCTTGCTCATCCGTCTTCACCATCTCATCAAGCTCTTGCCAAGTTTCAGCACCGAACAGTCTATGCTAATATTGTCAATGACGTATCAGTATCATTCAGAACGGCGTCGCTCTACTTTGTTGATTTTGACCCTACTC